GATATAGAGCTTTGAAGATAAAGCAATGCGATCCGATTACCGGGCTAAATCAACGGTTCCCTATTAATAGGAATAACCAAAAATCATTACTTAATGAATCAACTCTATCTATGGGGTTTACTAAATCCTAAGTCCATAATTGTCCATTTTTGTTCCAAATTATTGTCCATAGTCCGAATATACATAATGTCCATATGCACATTAAAGGGGGTTAATTCATACCAGAAATGTTGCTATAATCCCATAGAATATCAATTTTTACAATATTTATCCAAATCCAGAATTTCAGATTCTGGACAGAAACTTAGGTTACAAAAATGATCCAATAAAGACTCTTAAAGAATGAGATAAGTTCCTATTGTTTTATATGGTTTATAGAACTGAGTTATAGCCATCGTGACCAAATTTCATGAAGATTGGGTAAGAGATGATGCTTCAAATAAATCATGCAATGCTACTTATCACAACTGAAATGGCAGATTGCACCATGTTAGTAAAATACTCATAAAAAGAGTTCTACTAGGTGTTATGCAAAGATTCAAGTTGGATTGGAAACATAACACTTATACCAAATGTTTAAGCTAAGAATCACTCATTTTGGATGAGTTGAGAGGAAGATATGGCACCTTAAAGTCACATGCACACATCTGCCATCAATTGAAAGATTGCACACCTAACTTATAAAATTGGTTCATGCCCCAAAATATCGTATTTTTGAGTAAGACTGGATTCAAATGAACCCGAACTCATAAAAGAAAGTTTTAGAAGAAGAATCATACATTAAGGACAAATAAGTAGAAATATATTAATATACAAAATAAAGGTTACCCACTGGTGGTTTTACATTTTACACACCTATAGAGTTTAAGGTGTTTGGAGATCAAAACTCCATAATTTTATGTGATTCCACTTGCATATAAAATACAATCCATAAAGTTAACTCCCAAAAGAAGATTCATCCTTTTTCATTGAGTTATGAGAGAGATATGGTCGATGTAACACACATATACGAATCTGTCAAAATCGGACAGATTGCATGTTAATCTTAATTTAGGAAAATGAAACATCAAATCACCACCATATTGAGGGAAATCGGTGGAATTTGAAAGGTATTTCATTAAACTAACATCTAGAAGAAAAATCAACAAATTTGGATGGTTAACCAGAAAGTTATGACCATTCAAAGTAGGATTTACCTACTGGAAAATCTCTTATGCATATATATAATGTTTTGAGCATTTGGGGGGTCCAAACTCAATCATTTTGAGTGAGACCAAATGCAATGCAACCCCAACTCAGTAAATAAAC